TTGTAGCGTACAGCACGGTACAGGCCACTTACTTTCAAGTTTCAACGCCATTCTTTACGAAATGAAACAGTAGAACTCTAAGGCGATAGTAGAAGGAGAAAAAGGCCACACGTGTTGTTCAATTGGAGATTTTGAGTATTCCAAGATTGCGGAAGACAAGTGCCGTTACCTGTATGTACATTAAATTTCTAGTACTGGTTAAATTTTCGTCTAATGATCGATTCAGTTCGTGAAACTCAGAGTTAGGAAACAGCAACTGCTCGTGTTTCTGTCTGTGCATGTACATGTTTATGAAGGATAGGCTGGACGTTCTTGGACACTGGAGGAACTGAAGGACTGCTGAACAGCTGCAGTGAGTAAGTTCTGTTTATTATCTCTTTGACTAGGAAGTTCAAATTCTGCAGTCATCGCCACACTACAACGAAGTCATAAAAGTTTACCAGAATCAATTTTCTTGTCACATTCATCAGTGGAAAGTCGTGACTGAAGAGTAACCATGCTGAACAATGATTAAATATACATTCAATGATGTGTTAAGAGAACAAAATACAGTGCCAAAATAGAAAGAGGGAAGGTGAGACAATAGCAGTGAAGTGAGAGCTAAGTGCAACGGTGGGTGAAAAACTAATAATTATAACGCTAAAACTGTGTTGTGAGACAAACAATCATGCTGTGCACCTACGAAAACAATTTTAACGCAACTACATGTTTCTTCTGCTTACAAAGATCAGGCTTATGCAAACGAATACAAACAGCCTCAAGTACTTTCAACTGACTAGCATACCGTGCACGACAAAGAACAGAAAAACTAAAATCATCATACACCTGCAGACACTTAGGGTGAGACAACAAGTGAAGAAAAACGGCAGACTCCTTACGATCACAATCACCATCTGATTCCTCGTCTCCAACAACCGCAACCTCGTCCTCCGTTTCATCTCCCAACTCGTCCTCAGTGTCGTCCTCCGTGTCATTCTCCTCATCAACACTGATCGGTCCCAGGCTCGTTTGACGTTGTTTAACCTCTGTTGGTTGACTCCTCCTTTGATTTTGATGGCAACTTGTTACCATTGTTGTTGTTGTTGTTGTTGTTGTTGTTGTTGTTGTTGTTGTTGTTGTTGTTGTTAAATCTTGTGTTCCCAGTGTCCTCGCCGGTGCTTGATCTCCAGTACTGTTGCCTCCCCCAGAACCGCCACCTACATCTATCATCGGCGGTGCTGGGGCTGAGTCTGTGGTGTCGGTGGCACGTGCATATATGGATGAGGCAAGCACTGATTGTGAACAACGAGAAAGAAGGCTGAAGGGAACGGAATTCAACAAAGAAAGTAACACAATCAACATTCAAAGACCTAGACGATCAACGGCTAATTATTCAATGAATTATTACAGTACTGGAGATCAAGCATCCGCGAGGACACTGGGAACACAAGATTTAACAACAACAACAACAACAACAACAACAACAATGGTAACAAGTTGCCATCAAAATCAAAGGAGGAGTCAACCAACAGAGGTTAAACAACGTCAAACGAGCCTGGGACCGATCAGTGTTGATGAGGAGAATGACACGGAGGACGACACTGAGGACGAGTTGGGAGATGAAACGGAGGACGAGGTTGCGGTTGTTGGAGACGAGGAATCAGATGGTGATTGTGATCGCAAGGAGTCTGCCGTTTTTCTTCACTTGTTGTCTCACCCTAAGTGTCTGCAGGTGTATGATGATTTTAGTTTTTCTGTTCTTTGTCGTGCACGGTATGCTAGTCAGTTGAAAGTACTTGAGGCTGTTTGTATTCGTTTGCATAAGCCTGATCTTTGTAAGCAGAAGAAACATGTAGTTGCGTTAAAATTGTTTTCGTAGGTGCACAGCATGATTGTTTGTCTCACTACACAGTTTTAGCGTTATAATTATTAGTTTTTCACCCACCGTTGCACTTAGCTCTCACTTCACTGCTATTGTCTCACCTTCCCTCTTTCTATTTTGGCACTGTATTTTGTTCTCGTAACACATCATTGAATGTATATTTAATCATTGTTCAGCATGGTTACTCTTCAGTCACGACTTTCCACTGATGAATGTGACAAGAAAATTAATTCTGGTAAACTTTCATGACTTCGTTGTAGTGTGGCGATGACTGCAGAATTTGTTCTTTTTATTGCTATTATAACATTGTTGTCTCCACGTCGATTATTTGACTAGGAAGTTCTAATTTCTTTTCCAACTGGCTGTAACAGTGTGCTTCAGCTAAGTGAGTACTATTATCACAATACACACTTAGCGAGATCCACTAGTAATATCTTAGATGGAAAGGTGTACCTAAAACTCACTACATGTACGAGCAGTCGCTCTGCCAACGACGTCTTCAGAACGTTTGACGGCATTTGATATCAGCTATACTGCCCTGTAACTTACTAGTTGGGAGACGTGTGGGCGTACATTGCAGTAATGCCTGGCGCCACATAATGTAGCGCGGAAGAGCGAACAGCGTAGAATCAAGCTCATCAAGCTCAGTACATGACAATGTGTGGGCGTACACCAAGCTCAGTATACAAATGTATCCACTGTACACTGTGACTCAACTGTGCATAGACTGTAATGCATGCTCGGATTACGGGTGGAGGTTTGCTTGTATTGTTCGCAGCTAGAAGTTTCCTTTACTGCTGACAAGTTCGTTTCTCGTCTTTTTCGAAGGTAGAATATTCATGAGATTGCAGCAGAAGACACCAATGTTGGTTGGTTCAACTGTTGGTAAAACACACACCTGGCAGTATGACCCAGCCTGCTATGTCGGATACCACCAGCCATGCATTGACTAGGCGCCAGGCGCGAACTGATGGTGTGCTGGTGGTGGTGGGAAGGAGAGCTCTGTGCTAGAAAAACTTTGCAGCCTAGAGAGCGTGTGAGGGCAGGTATGTATTTACCGCGATACTACCACTGTGCCAGGTGTGTTTTTACCACCATTCGAATCAACTAGAGTTTTCATATTACTCATATTGCTGTCTTGTTCGCATGTAGACGTTTATTCCTATACTGCTGACATGTTTCTCGTCTTGTTCGAAGGTAGACGTTTATTCCTATACTTTTATTACTCTCTTATTCGCAGTTAAGGGGGCAGCCTGGTCGTAAAATCCCTGAAAAATCGAATTTGTAAATTCATATCGAGTGCTACATCAGTTGAAAGAGCATGAACAGCTGCATAATCTCTGAAAATCCTTTCTCGATCTGACCAGCCGTTCAAGAGTTATGGCCGAAAATGTGCCCTTGTAAGGAAAGGTTTTTGTTGCGCGCTGTCATTTGTTGGCAGCACTGTATTTGAATGTGAGCAGACCGTGCGCAACTTGTCGTATCATGGAAACACGCGAAAGTGTGCAGAATTTTGCTCCAAATCCAAAAAATCACGTTTTTGAGCCACGTATTGGGCTGCACGGTGGCGGGCTTTGCCCTCTGCCGTGCAGCAGGACTTTTGCCAGCACCCTCGTGACGTTGCAGATATGTGGCTTGATTATTGTAGTTGACGTTGATTTAGTGACTTTGGCAAGTTTGAGTCGTGTCAAGAAGTCAGATAGGATTCAGTACTAGGCAGTAGCGGAACGTGAGTGGTAGTCTTTGCCGGTTTCTGAGGGTATCCTGGATTTGGTGTGCAGCGCTGTGCAAATGGCTTGCTGTGGACGTCCCAGCACTGGATGTTGTATCAAAGGTACGACCTCGTAGCACGTAAGTAAGTAAATTATCGTATCCGTTCCCGAAGGGAACTCACGACGGCCGCTAACACCCGATAAACCCTAGCGGCAGATGCAACGCCTAACGGTGGGGGCGAGTGGGCAAGTCTCACAACCACTGGCACAAGTGCCAAAAACGACCCCATTAGCTGCATCCATGTACCCCTTGTGCCTGGCCACAAGTTCCAAGTTGGGTGTGGGTAGCAGCACGGCTGGAAAAACCGCTCCCAGGTAGGACTTGAACCAGGTACCTCTCGTATCTCAATCATGGTCTTTGACCAACCCACTGTGCACGTGCTAAACCTATACAAATTCAAAAATTGACTTGGGTCTGTGGGAGTCTGTGAGAGAACGCCCACTCGTTCCGTTGTGACAGATTGCAGGGCCACGTTGAAGGGCCCTACCCCACCACCCATGGCTGCTTCTGGACTTGTTTTAGGTTTGGGTCCCGCGCACGGACAGAATGGACACGAAAATGTGAAAAAATTATAAATGCATTTGTTTGGCTCCTGGGTGGCTCGCACACCGTGGCACTATGCCAGAAATTTGAGTTTTTCCGGCCTGGAAAGCCTGTCAGTGAGGCGCAAGAACTTGTAAATCATGTCCTGAGGGCTAGCATAGTGGCAGGAGTGTGTGGTCAAAATTTCACTCAAATCCATTGAGAAACACCAAAGTTACGGTCAATTGAATGCCATATGAAATTTATGGGTAGGCCGCCCCCTTATTAAAGAATACAAAAAAGAATACATAAAGAATACATTACACAAGAGAGAGATTGGAAGCTTTGTTACAACTCTGAGTTGTAACAAAGCTTCCAATCTCTCTCTTGTGTACAATGCTCTGCCCTACATGATTATTGAGCACTCTTCGGACAATGAAGCAAACCACATGACTACGTAAAGAATACATTAATAATACATACAATAGCGGCAATGAAGAAGCCCACAAGCACACATGACGATTTTGTAATCGACATTACATAATAATATTTTATTTACATCGTATACTGAAGTGCACAATCCAGCAGAGAACGTAAGTGGGTCTAACTCCCCCGCGACCACTGGACATCATGATTGTTCCAAAGCGGAATACACCCTGTGTAGAGCATGGCTGTGACCAATGGGACAAGCTCGCCTGTATTTCAGCAGCTGTACATAAACGACAGTCATGCCTAATGTTCTTTCAGTTGGACCTTGTTTTATTGCGGAGCTGTACGGTGCGCTCATCTCGGCTAGATTGAAGAAGAAGACAGAAGTTTGTGAAGTAGCCGCGTCTAGAGCAATAAATAAATAACTACCAGTAGTAGAGAAGCTGGTCGGGATCGAATCGATCGTATCGGAGGTGCCAGGGGATCGCTTCCGAGAAGAAACTCAAAACACATCGGTAAGATTGGATTTTACAGCTTATCAGCTACTGCAGTGCTATCAGTGTCATTTCCTTTCTTGTCACAATAACACCGAAACGCACAGGTGCATTGATTAAAAACCTGACGGAAACGCAAGCGGGACCTCAACGACATCCAATCAATTTTCATATTTCATCGCTGGCATACGAGTTTCGGGTCTTGTTCATGGGTAAGAATACTTTCTACATTGAATACTGGCTTATTATCTTGTTCGCAGCTAGAGGTTTTCACATAGTACTCTTTTCTTGACTTAATACTGGTATATTTGTCTTGTTTACAGGTGCATTGATCAAAAGCCTGACGGAAACTCAACCGGCACCTCAACGACATTCAACTTTCCAAGCAGAACCTCAGGAAAGAATGAAGGTGAGAGTCTGAAGCGAGAATGTCGACCGCAGCAAAGGTTGTGCAGAATCACGGGGCGACCTCGCCTTATGAAGTGCTGATGGACGTGATGGTCAATTGGGATTCGCCACCATCACTGGAGGCGCAATCGCCAGCAATCAGTGATGGAGTAGCTCCGGCACTAACGGCGCAGACTGTCGGTGATAGGCTGTTGCACTGGAAAGGCATCATCAAGCAGAATGGACGTGGTTCGTACTATGCCGTAGGACAAGCCCTCCATTCCATGCTATACGACGAGCATCTTCTAAGCCCTAGCTGTTTTCACGTGTGGACGAAAACTGAGGTTGGCCTGACACGAAGCAACGTCTATGAGTATATTCGCGGGTACAAGATAGTACGAATGATCCGCAGTCAAGACCCCAACATGTTAGTTCCGACGACTTTGTCGCATTTCCGAGTGTTCAATAGGATTTCCTTGGAAGACAATGGAGTGAAGGTGTTTCAGCTCTGGAAAGCAATTCTGGAATCAACACCACCAGAGAACATACATCAATTGACAGCAAAGGAGATTCTGGCCAAAGGCAAATCTATACTCTGCAACGGCACAAGCAATTCGGACACCCCGCCAAAGCATCATCTCCATGGTGATGACTTTGAAATGCAGGAGAGCCTACCTTCCTCTGCTTTGTCCCAGGTGGCTAGCAGTAACAAGCGCAGGCGTTCAGTTCGGGAACGTGCGCGCAGATTCGTTGGTTACTCTCAAGCCGAGCAACATGATATCGACTGTGAGGCGCATGGCGATGTTGATTACAATGGTGCCTACAGCTACACTGATGACGACGCCGATGAGCAACCAATGTTCGAGACCAACAGTCGGACGACACACGCAGGTCAAGCAAAGCGCCGCAATCACCCAAGCAGACATCGCAATCACCCAAGCAGACATGTGATGAGTAGCAGTGGTAACAATGGCCACGGTATGGCCAATGACCAGCAACACGGCCAACATTATGAACGGCATGTAAACGGTGACATTGCTGTTCGTTCACCAGACGACGCATTACCACCACTACCAGCACTTCTTCCAATACCCGTGACACCAGGACGACTGGCTGGTATTGCCAGGCGATTGGTTAGGACTGGTTTTGATGTGTCCGTGTGCCCAGCGGAGACAAGCCACGAGGAGTTGTAGAAGTTTATTTAACGTCGCACCACAAACAGGCGATTTCGCCTCCTTTGATACATGTGGACGACAGAAGGAATGAGAGAGAGTGGGGGGGGGACAGAAGTATGGAGAGAGGAAGGGTAGAAATATATAGGAGTGTGTCATCGATGCAGAAACAACGCACATGTCCCATGGATACATGAAACCATGGAGAGGAACAGTTTGGGGAAACTTCTCCGGACCCCGCTTTGACGACCATGACGAACTGGCAGTCTACGTTGGTGCAGCAATGGATAGGTTCAACGCTGGAGAGTATGACTCGGGAGTGTTCGTTGTGAATGCGGCATTCTTCTCCAGCTTCTTCCCCAAGCTACTCGAATACCCGCACTGCTTTCGGCGGAAGCCACTGACTAGAGTCTCACTTGCCAGGTGATAGTACCAATGATGATGCCATCAACCACCACCAAGTCAGTGTTGCCTACTTTGGAAGCGATGCGAGCCAGTTTGTTCAGGTCATGACCAACCATGGCTACATTCCCGGTGTCAATAGCTGGTGTCCTTTCTAATCATTCCTATAGAAATAATAATTATGCAGCGTAGTGGACATACGGTATCATTGCTACTTCTTGTATTGCTACTGTTCTATCCTCTTGATGTAACGACAGAGCTGTGAACGTTTTTGTTTTTTCACAGCTGAGCGTAGTGAAAGAGTGCAAAAAACGTATTTTTCGCACGCAAATATTTTCATGCGTTTTCTCTTGTTCTGAGCAACTCCATTGAACCTGCCATCGTGGTCTTTGTTTTTCCTCTTGGTAGTTAAAGGGGAAGTATACCCTAAAATCAAATTTTCACCAGTTGTAGTCTTCTGGGTGCTGAGTCGAATGGTCTTGGTCCGAGGAAGCTGCGACGCTCCCTTCCTACTTGAATCCCAATCGAACTCGCGCACTTCCACCGAAACTGGGTGACTGCGCCCTACTAGATGGGGATTTGTATGCAAAATGTCACTAAAAGCGCCATTTCGTTCTTATAAAAGCACGGATGACCGCGATTGGCCCATATGTTGTAGTCTTTTGGACGCTGAGTCGACTGGTTTTGGTCCGAAAAGGCTGCGATGCAGCGTTCCTCCTTTATTCCCAATCGAACATGGTTGAACAAGCGGTCACGTGCTCCTGGGTGCCCAAATCACCTGGTCACCGCGCCAGCAGGCGACAACTTTCACACCAAGGTTCAACTCGAGTTCAACTCGAGTGACAGGACTGCAACCAAAAAAGGTCAAACAGGCTAGTAAGTTGTACCCTGCAGGCACGGTGACCAGGTGACTGGTGTACGCAGGAGCACGTGACCGCTTGTTCAACCATGTTCGATTGGGAATAAAGGAGGAACGCTGCATCGCAGCCTTTTCGGACCAAAACCAGTCGACTCAGCGTCCAAAAGACTACAACATATGGGCCAATCGCGGTCATCCGTGCTTTTATAAGAACGAAATGGCGCTTTTAGTGACATTTTGCATACAAATCCCATCTAGCAGGCCGCAGTCACCCAGTTTCGGTGGAAGTGCGCGAGTTCGATTGGGATTCAAGTAGGAAGGGAGCGTCTCAGCTTCCTCGGACCAAGACCATTCGACTCAGCACCCCAAAGACTACAACTGGTGAAAATTTGATTTTAGGGTATACTTCCCCTTTAAGGGGGCAGCCTACCCATAAATTTCATATGGCATTCAATTGACCGTAACTTTGGTGTTTCTCAGTGGATTTGAGTGAAATTTTGACCACACACTCCTGCCACTATGCTGGCCCTCAGGACATGATTTACAAGTTCTTGCGCCTCACTGACAGGCTTTCCAGGCCGGACAAACTCAAATTTCCGGCATAGTGCCACGGTGTGCGAGCCACCCAGGAGCCAAACAAATGCATTTACATTTTTTTCACATTTTCGTGCCCATTCTGTCCGTGCGCGGGACCCAAACCTAAAACAAGTCCAGAAGCAGCCATGGGTGGTGGGGTAGGGCCCCTCAACGTGGCCCTGGAATCTGTCACAACGGAACGAGTGGGCGTTCTCTCGCGGACTCCCACAGACCCAAGTCAATTTTTGAATTTTTTAGGTTTAGGGTGTGCTACGAGGTCGTACCTTTGATACAACATCCAGTGCTGGGACCTCCACAGCAAGCCATTTCCACGGCGCTGCACACCAAATCCAGGATTCCCTCAGAAACCGGCAAAGACTGCCACTCACGTTTCACTACTGCCTAGTACTGAATCCTACCTGACTTCTTGACACGACTCAAACTTGCCAAAGTCACTAAATCAACGTCAACTACAATAATCAAGCCACATATCTGCAACGTCACGAGGGTGCTGGCAAAAGTCCTGCTGCACGGCGGCGGGCTTCGCCCGCCGCCGTGCAGCCCAATACGTGGTTTTTAACGTGATTTTTTGGACTTTTTTGGACTTGGGGCAAAATTCTGCACACTTTCGCGTGTTTCCATAATACGACAAGTTGCGCACGGTCTGCTCACATTCAAATACAGTGCTGCCAACAAATGACAGCATGCAACAAAAAAATTCTTTCCTTGCAAGGGCACATTTTCGGCCATAACTCTTGAACGACTGGTCAGATAGGGACACAATTTTCAGAGAATTTGCAGCTACTCATGCTCTTTCAACTGACGTAGCACTCAATATGAATTTACAAATTCGATTTTCAGCGAATTTTTGGGTAGTCTGCCACCTTAAGGTGCCCGCCCACCCTGGTTTCATGGGGGTCTTCCGCTGTCCTTCTTGATATTCTATGCCAATGTGTGTGGCTTATGATTGTGACATACACTGGATATTACATACCATTTCTTGCTGTCTCTATTCTTGGGTCCGACTGGCAGCGGGGCAGGAATTATTGAAATAGAAAGGTTTTTTTGGCCGAAAGGCCGCGGTGTTTTTCCTCTAGCCCGGTTGAGCGGTCGCGGCTAGGAATGTAGGGAGTCCTTGTTTTCAGGCGCTCCCCTGCTGCCCACTCACCCATGCTCACCACTGGCCATGTTGTTCCACTTGATTTTACGGCCTTTTCTCCCGCTTGCTGGCTGTTCTTTGATGGATTTAGATGTTTTTCGGCTATTTATCTATTATGTGGCTGCGAGTGTGGTTTTTTGCTTCTACTCATTTCTGGAAAACCACTATGGTGGTGAGTGTGATTGCTCTGGTAAACCACTACCCCATGTACTGAGCAGTTGCTTTGTGAGTGAAAAATGAAAGTTACTATTCTTGCACTGGACATATAGTCGGATCCACCCGTACTAGCCTGTGTGCGTCTTGCTCAACTCGTTATCACTTTGGAGATGTCACATGTACTTGTAGCCCTTTCCCAAAGCTAGACCATGTAGTAGTGGTATTCTATAACCCAATGCTACAGTCACGCTGGCAACTGAAATCCGACCACCTGAGCGGTGGGTTCACATTATAGCGATATCTGTTTCCTAGTTTCACCATCCCGTGTTGGGTCTTTGCGATGTGAGCGCACCGCTCAGGGGTCGGATTTCAGTTGCCAGCAGTGTGTATTATAGAACCGGGTTCAACACCCATAATTATGGTTCAGATGGTCCCAACGGACCGGGGCTCTACCAACCGTGGATGGATGTAGTTCTAGTAAGGTGACTGTTTGCGAACACAGTGTCCTCCACCTTGTTTCATGCTGTCAAACTAACATCATCATGTAACCGTGTACTTAAAACTCGCTACATGGACTAGATCTTCCAGCGCCGCACTAAACACACTCCCTGTTACCAGCGCAGGTTTTGCTATGAACCTCATGATTCGCAGACATGACTGCAAACCAATCGGCTATACGCGTTGCTACAAGATGGTCCCAACGGACAAATACAAATAATAATACACAAGAGAGAGATTGGATGCTTTGTTACAACTCTGAGTTTCAAGTATTACTACGATCATCAGGGAACCCCCCTGCCTGATGATCTTAGTAATACGTGAAACTCAGAGTTGTAACAAAGCTTCCAATCTCTCTCTTGTGTACAAGGCTCTGCCCTACATGGGTATTGAGCACTCTTCGGACAATGAAGCAAACCACTTGACTACAAATAATAATAATAATAATGATAAATCCGGTGACGTTGGCCTGAGCCAGCTTTTTCCCCAAAAATTACGTCACCAGATTTAGCGCTGACTTTGTTTATGCTTACGAGTATGGCCCTAAGGCTATGTGTTGATAACAGGGGCGTAGGAGGGGTTTTGGAAGGGTGCTTATGCATCGATGGATCCTGATTTTTTTATTACGGTTTTGCACGTTTCGGGCGGACCACGCTTTTCGAAAAGTGGTACGACCATGGTCGTACCAGTCGTAGCGGGTGCTATCATAAGCATACTGCTGGGTAGATCCGAGTATCAGTTCAAGTGTTTGATGATTGCCTAGCGCTGCATGAAGCTCAGAGTTCAAGTGGAAGATATGTGGGCGCCGCACTCCCCCCGCACATCAGCTCTCAATACGTGCTACAGCTGGGAGTATAGTAGCTGTAAACGTACCCGTGACACCATAACTACATTCTTCGCGTTGAGAAAGGTTAGCTCTGCTGTCTGTATTTCTTTGACTTTTGTAGAACACGCACAGCTAATTTTGTGTCAATATGAATGTAACAGTTTATTGTAGCGTACAGGCTACTAATAATACAGTCAAGTTACAACGCCATTCTTTAGGAAAGGAAACCGTGGAAATTTGAGGCAATAGTAGAAGGAGAAAAAGGCCACACGTGTTGTTCAATTGGAGATTTTGAGTATTCCAAGATTGCGGAAGACAAGTGCCGCTACCTGTATGTACATTAATTTCTATTACTGGTTAAATTTTCGTCTAATGATCGATTCAGTTCGTGAAACTCAGAGTTAGGAAACAGCAACTGCTCGTGTTTCTGTCTGTGCATGTACATGTTTATGAAGGATAGGCTGGACGTTCTTGGACACTGGAAGAACTGAAGGACTGCTGAACAGCTGCACTGAATAAGTTCTGTTTGTTATCTCCTTCACTAGGAAGTTCTCAGAATTTCTTTTCCAACTGGCTGAAACCGTGTGCTTCAGCTGAGTGATTACTATTATCACAATACACACTTAGCGAGATCCATTAGAAGTATCTTAGATGGAAAGGTGTACCTAAAACTCACTACATGTACGAGCAGTCGCTCTGCGAACGTCTTCAGAACGTTTGACGGCATTTGATATCAGCTATACTGCCCTGTAACTTACTAGTTGGGGGACGTGTGGGCGTACATTGCAGTAATGTCTGGCGCCACATAATGTAGCGCGGAAGAGCGAACAGCGTAGAATCAAGCTCATCAAGCTCAGTATGACAATGTGTTGGCGTACAGTGCAGTAGTTATGGACGCCAAAGAGTTTAGCGGTAGAACAACCAGCCTAGCACCAAGCTCAGTATACGAATGATTATGTATCCACTGTACACTGTGACTCAACTGTGCATAGACTGTAATGCATGCTCGGATTACGGGTGGAGGTCTGCTTGTCTTGTTCGCAGCTAGAAGTTTCCTTTACTGCTGGCAAGTTCGTTTCTCGTCTTTTTCGAAGGTAGAATATTCATGAGATATGCAGTTGAAGACACCAATGCAGCAGTACTTATGCTTGATTCAACTTTTGGTAAAACACACACCTGGCAGTATGGCCCAGCCTGCTATGTCGGATAGCCATGCATCGACTAGGCGCCAGGCGCGAACTGATGGTGTGCTGGTGGTGGTGGTGGGAAGGAGAGCTCTGTGCTAGAAAAACTTTGCAG